GAAGAAAACAAAAAAAGAGCAGAAGCTCTTAAAATTAAACGTGCAGAGGAAGAATACAAAGAGGAAGAAAGAAGAAGAAATGCATTGAGAATGCAAAATAATAGAGATAAATACAAAAATAACTTTGATGTCATGAAATCAAATTATGAGTTAAAAATAAAAGAAGGACCTACTCATATTTGCAGTTGTTGTGGTGGTTTATGGTTCGAATATTCAATCAAAGAATTCACAGTTGAGATGTTGAGAAATAAAGGATTACCAAAAGAATTTATTGATACAGTCTGTTATCTCGAAAATGCAATCATTAAATTATGTGTTACTTGTAGAAAGGACATTATGTCGAATAAAGTACCTAATCTTTGCCTATCTAATGGTTTAGCATTCTATGAAATACCAGATTGTTTGAAAATCTTGACTGAATTAGAAGAACGATTAACATCACCAAGAATTCCTTTTATGGTGATTCGAACGTTAGGCTTCTGTAAACAGTTTGGTCTCAAAGGTAATCTGGTCAATGTTCCGATGAATGTTGACACAAATGTTTCGGTCTTACCGAGAAAGTTTAGCGATACTCATACAATCCAACTAAAACTCATGAGACAAATGAAAAATAAAAACGCCTTTATGTATGAAACAATTCGACCAAAAGTTGTACATACAGCTGTTAAATATCTTGTCGAACAGGAACTATATAAAGGCGAAGGTATCATTATATCCGATGATTGGTTGAATGAGTATTCTAATGAACGAGAAAATTTCATTATTAAAGATGAAGATAAAAAAATTGATGCGAATGAAATCATGAAGGAATCAGAATTTGATGATAATGATGCCAATTGGAATGAATCCGATGATAAACCAATCAATCCAGTAGCTACAGAAACATTATTAAATGATGAGATTGAAGATCAGAATGATATCGGTATTAAATTTGCTCCAGCAGAGAATAATAGACCAATATCAATTTTGATGGATATGAAAGTTGATGAATTAACATTTCCAAAAATTTATTGTGGTAAACAAAGAAAAATCAAAGAAAATGTTAAATTGACTTACGCTAAAATTGCTAAGTCAGAATTAAGAATGTTCGATCGAAGATGTGGTAGAATATCGAAACTATTTTTTACCTATAAGAAATTGCAAACGAGAAAGTTTTCAGATGCTATTTCAATAACTCTAAGAAAAACAAAAAATACAAAAAATGTAACTGTTGCACAAATGCTCAATCGAGATTATGTCAATGGATTAATACATAATGATGACGCTTTCACATTCTTGAGATGTGATCGATCATCACCAGCATTCTGGGAACTGAAAAAAAAGGAACTTATGGCCATGAACAGGCAATTAGGTTGTGCTACAATCTTTTTGACTTTATCAGCAGCAGAAACAAAGTGGTCAGAACTTATTGTAATATTGGCTAACGTGTTGGAAAATAAAGTCATAACATTAGAAGAAGCAGACAATATGAGCTATGAAAAGAAGTGTGATTTGATAAGAAAAGATCCTGTAACATGTGTTCGTTATTTTGAACATAGAGTAAAATGTCTATGGGAAATATTATCAGCTCCTTCTGGTCCATTTCAAGGCTACGAACTAGAAGACAAATATGTCAGAATTGAATTTCAAGCTCGTGGTTCACCACATGTTCATGCCTTGATATGGTTAAAAAATGCTCCAAAATACGACAAAAATAAACCTGAATCAATTAAAAAATGTATAGAATTTATTGATAAACTGATTTCAGTTAGTTCGAAACCAACACAATTTTCTGAAGAACTTATAAGTTTGCAACGTCATAAACATTCACATACCTGTAAAAAATATGTGAACGGTTGTATTAAATGTCGTTTTGGTATTCCATATTTTCCGATGAGAGAAACTATGATTTTGGAACCATTTAGTGACGACGAAAAGTTAACTAAAAAAGAACGTGAAGAAATAAGTAAAAAGAAGGAGAACGTAATGAAAGAACTTGAAAAGATATCAAAAGATATCGATAATTCATTAATTTTTGATGAATTCTTGGTACATATTAATATGAATGAAAAAGAATATATTAAAATGATTCGAGCTGACTTAAAAAAAGCAAAGGTCTTCTTGAAACGTGCTCCAAATGAAATCCGAATCAATGCATATAATCCACCAATAATGTCATTACACAGAGCAAATATGGACATTCAATTCATTCTTGATCCTTATGCATGCTTAAAGTACTGTGTTGAATACATCAACAAATCTGAAAATGGCATGTCTAAACTTCTACGAGAAGCATTGAACGAGTTAAAAAAAGGCAATAACACAGTCAGAGAACGTCTTAGAGTTACTGCAAATAAATTTTTGAATTCAAGTGAAATTTCTGCACAAGAAGCTGTTTATCATGTTTTAAGTATTCCACTTTCCATTAGTAGCAGAAGTACTGTTTTTATTAATACAAACAGACCTGAAAATAGAATTTCTATGCTCAAATCAGATGAAATTCTTCAAAAATTGGAGCCTGATTCAAAAGATGTGTTTATTGAGGGCTTAATTGAGATGTATGTTAATAGACCTGACGAAATGAAAAATGTTTGTCTGGCTGATTTTGCTTCGATGTATAATATTTCAAAGAAAAAAACAGATAATGATCGAATTATAGAAAATTCTGATGACGAAGATATCACTGAAAATGAAAGTGATAATAAAACTGTCCCTATGAAAATGAAAAATGGTAAGGGTTGGATTAAAAAAAGGACAAAGAAAAAAATCATAAGATACAGATACTTTAAACTACATCAAGATCCTGAAAACTATTATAGAGAGCAGCTAATGCTATTTCTACCATGGACTAATGAAGAAGAAGATCTTATTCATATAAACCATGAAGAGAGATTTGAATTGTATAAAGATATAATTCAACAAAAAAGATCTGAATATATTCATCGTGAAGCTAATGAATTCGAACAAGCTTTAGAAGAACATATGGGAAAAAAAGAAGATGAAGATGATATTGATGATGCAAATATTGAATACGATCAAGATAAAAATGAATTTCTCATTTATGAAATAGGAAATACTGAAGGTGATATTTTTGTTGAAATGGGAATAAATACTCGAACTGAAAAAGTCGAACACTTTAATGTTCCCAAAATAATACCAGACACAGAATATCAACAAATGATGAGAAATCTTAATAGTAATCAAAGGAAATATACTCTAAACGTAATGAATTTGATTAAAAATGATGAAAATCAATTTTTTCATTTCATCAATGGAGGTGCAGGTGTTGGCAAAAGCACTCTAATCAAAGCAGTGTATCAATCAATACTAAGATTTTATAATTCACTTCCAGGATATTATCCAGATAGTATTCGGGCTGCACTATGTGCACCAACTGGCAAAGCAGCAGCATTAATTGATGGAATGACTTTGCATTCATTTTTAAGTTTACCAGTAAATCAATGCAAACATAAGCTTGTTCAACTAAATAGCGATGTTTCGAATAGAATTGGAGTCAAATTAAAAGACTTACAATTATTAATAATAGACGAAATATCAATGGTTGGTTTTACAATGTTTCAACAAGTCGATGCACGTTTGCAGCAAATAATGAGAACAAAGAAACCATTTGGTGGAATATCAGTCATAGTTTTAGGCGATTTCAATCAATTAAGACCAGTTGGTGATAAATACATATTCCAGTTTAATAATTCATATAATGCTTTAGTAGATAGTCCATTATGGTCATTATTTGAATTGTTTGAATTAACAGAAATTATGAGACAAAAGGATGATAAGACTTTTGCCATTGCATTAAGTAATATAGCTAAAGGAACAATGACAGATGAAGATATTAATTTATTAAAGTCACGAATTGTTTCAACTGAAAATTTGGAAACGATTGAGGATGCCATAAGGATATTCAGAAGCAATGCTGAAGTTGATGCATACAATACAAAAGTATTGGCTAATCTTAATACTGAAGGTGCAACTGCCAATGCATATGACTTTTGTATTGGTGATGGACTTGCATCATTAAAAGAAAAAGTGTTGAATAACGTAAAGAATCTCAAAACAACTGAAACTTATGGCTTACCACTTAAAATTGATTTGAAAGTGGGCGCTAAGTATATGTTGACAGTCAATTCTGATACTGAAGATGGATTAGTCAATGGTGCTTGTGGAAAATTAGTAATGATTGATTACGGAAAACTTCAAAAAACTAATGAAACAGTACCATGTAGAATATGGATTAAATTCAATGAAGAAAAAACTGGAAGAAAAGCTAGAGCCAATTTTCACAATGTAATGCGTAATAGAAATATTGATTTTAGTCTTACACCAATCGAACCAGTAATACGTCAGATAAATACGAAGTCAACAAACTTCAAAGTAGAACGGAAGCAGTTTCCAATAGTACCTTGTGAAGCTATGACCATATACAAAAGTCAAGGCGGTACTTACGAGAAGGTTGTTGTCAATTTGAAGAAGGGAATGACAAGATCTGAATTATATGTTGCCTGTAGTCGTGCAACAAAAGCAAGTGGTTTATACTTAATTGGAGACTTCGTTCCACCAAAACCACCTGAACGTAATGATGCAGTGACGTTGATGTTCAAAACTATGAGATCCGAGCGAATGCTGAAATTTTCGCTTGCATTTCCTGAAGAATCTGAAGAGAAAAAATTTTCCATTATCTTTCATAATGTACAATCATTGAATAAGCATATTTCAGATGTTAAATTTGACAGAACATTTTTGTCTTCTTCCATGATAAGTCTTGTTGAAACATGGACAAAACCAAGTGATAACTTAGAAATTGAAGGTTTTAAGATAGTTCACAGACGTGATTGTCATGATGTACGAAAACCATTCGGTCAAATCATTTATTTAAATAAATAAATGCGGAAACTTCGGATTTAAATCCGAGAGTTATGTGTACTTCAAAAAGTGAATCATACAAATCAATCATCCTAGACTGTCTGAATATCAAAATTATACTGTGAAATCTACCATTTAAAATGTTGATTTCTATTGCGCGTAGCCAAACCAATAGGACATGGGCCAAATACAGCTCAAGTTTGAACTCTTTCCCTTGATTTACCCTAAGAAAGTCGTTTTTCCTATAACTTGATTTCTATTGGTCACTGCGCAACTAATAGTATTTCGATGGAAGTGCAGTACACATTCGAGTTCTCCATATCTGAAAACCTCAAAGTATCATCTCTGTGATCGGAAGATAGAGCTCTATTTGTGGATCAATTAGATCGTGGACAAAAATATAAGCTAGTTCTCTTTAATTATCTTTTTTCATAGGTAAGTCAACCTTCTTGTTGCTTTATGTTTTATATACCATTTTGTAGCTCTTGAAATTCTGTATCGAATGGTATATAATAGTTGGGGTTTTAGTTGACTATGATAGGAAAAATCTTTTACGAAAGCGGCGATGGGTCCATTTTTCCACAGAAAGCTAAAGGGAAAAATGGGTATTTTTGCAATCACTCAGGAACGGCTCGGCCGATCCTTCTCATCTTCGAACTCGACCGAGACATTGTCAAGACTAAGCTGTGTAGAAAGTTTTATCGCAATCTGACTCTGCTGTCAAAAGTTATCATGTAAACAGCCAACCGGACGGACGGACACACTGACTATTCTATAGTGTATTCACTTTTTGAGTACACAAAACTATGATTCAGTTCAAAACTAATATCAGATTCAGAATCAGCGTTAAAAACTGAGTCGATTTACGTGTTTTGTGAATAATTATGAGCAAAAATTTTTTTTTCGAAAAATCCCCGTACCCCCCCTCAGGGATGGTCTGGTTAAAAATCACAATTTTTTCGATAACTCAGCCATTTCTTGGCGGATCCTTCTCATCTTCGAACTCGACCGAGATATTGTCAAGACTAAGCTGTGTAGAAAATTTCATCGTAATCTGACTCTCCTTTCGAAAGTTATCGTGTTAACGGCCGGACGGCCGGACACACAGACCGATTTTAGTAGTGTACTCACTTTTTGAGTACACTAAAAATGATTTAAAATTCGAAAATATCACCGAAAGATATGAATATTCAGGCAAAGATCATATTGAATATTCTTCGATAAAAGTTGATGATATTTGTATAATTTCCGTTTATAACTCACCAAATTCATCATTCAATGTCCTAAGACGACATATGAATGAAGTTATAACTATTTCAAAAAGA